AAGCTGAGTACCGTCCAAGTACAGTCCGATTTCATTACTGCTAGGCGTGATGTATGTGTTTGTACGACCGACAGTTGAAGAAAAATTTTATATCTGCCTATCAGCCTAGTTACGTTAAGAAGAATCAAATATTGCATACAGTTGGTTATAAAGAAGAAGGAAACGTGATTGAATTTTGAAGTGGAAACGTTTAGGGCTAGATTTCGCTAATAATGTGTTAGGCTACCCTGATGCCCTGATGCTGTATACATTCGCCCAGTCATCGCGGCATGCCTCGGACGAGGTAATTTATCCCTTCTAGAGGTATTCATCCCAAGTCAACTATATTTGATTCCCAAGAGCTGTTGACGTTGGTGGAGATAAAGACGTCGCCCTTCTTCCCATCATATCCCACGCACATTCAGGCCAATGAATGAGGTTAACTTGAACCGTGATTGAGGTAGTCTGCCGTCTAGGCATTATATATGTCATACCGTCGCTAATGGAAACTAGAGGTGACTTAGCCCCATATGCTATGGCGCCTCAAACCATTAACTACACAGCGTAGCGCGGATCCAGGGGGTCATGTTCCCCCTGGGCGAATCTAGTTTGACCACCAATATTTATGACTGATAAGTTTAATAAAATACAGATTTTTAGGAAATATGTAATGGATACAAACGGTTAAAAGATCACCAGATTTGGTGAAAAATCACCATATCTGGCAACCCTGATCAGTTTGTAAGCGCATCGATGATGGCGTCGAAATAAAAGGTTTGCTCAAGTCTGGTTGCCTATACGTTCAACTTTTTTTTTATACTCCAACTACCACGAAGGCCTAAGGCCTAAGCACCCATTGGGTACCATGGGGCTATATGGGGATACATGGGAGAGGGGGTAACGCCACACGTACTCTGGCGAGGGAAAACGTGTGCATGCAACATGTACTCTTTCTGGCCGCGCCTACGAGATCCGCCGGGTGGTACCTCCGCGTTCGACAGTCAGAGACCGTCTACCACCTACGGACAATCACAGCATCCATAGCCAAGAGAAAAATTTCTCCCGGGACGGGACTCGAACCCGCACAGCGCACGGCGACTGATCAGGGATCGAAGAGTCTGCTACTGCGGCCACCGCTGCTGCCTTATGATATGCCATTAAGCATCTACATGATGACAGGCTCTACCAAAAAGTTCATAGGTATTGCTCGTTTCCAAACATTCATTCATTTACTTGTTCATCAGTACCATTATAGCACCGTCGTTTGATATTCCCACAAAACAATTCCGGATTTTTGATATCCATACATCCATAAAGTCAAATAATTTTTGGTTATTCGGACACTGAACAAACATCCACGCCATATGTACAGCGAATGATAAATACTCAAATATATGTCGTAAAGCTACCGGCAAACTTAAAACCTGCAACAAAAAATAGAATTTGCAGTAAATTTCTTGTTTCACTGAGTACACATTCTAGGATATAACTTGGCGCAAATAGACATAAAGTACTGATTCTGCGTTTTTCGGCTTGGTGACGTTCAACTGAAAGCTTTACATCGTACATCCAGAGCTCGCCGATACAACCGCTCCTTTGTCCGTAGGATATCGAGATTGTGGAATAATCTGCCTAAGGAGTTTTACTAACATTAGACAGTCCAAAAATCAGATTAACAAAGCCTGTTCAAACTTCTCGTAGCAGCCGCGATGCACCGGTTTTTAGGTTTCTGCCTACGCGTCCGCTTCGGTATAAAAAAGCCGTGGCCTTCTCTGACTTCATATATCACCTCATTAAAAGTATGCTATGACAACTGGACAATACAGCACTTCAAAATTCAATCACTACATCCCCTTGCCCATGACTAACGTGCTTTTTTAAATATAGATATTAGAATAAATAATAGTTTAAAAAAACACGCTTTATAGCTAACCGAACAGTAGTAGGTGGTCGAACAATCAATTATAACTAATGACCTCAAAATAAAATTATAATAAAATTTGAGTTATTAACAGAATAATTCAATTCAGAGTAAAAAGCGTAGGGTGCTTGATATTTTAAATGTTACAATCATTCTATTGGCAACTATCTACGAGAGGAGAACTATTCTGTTAATAACTTAAATTTTATTATAATTTTATTTTGACGTCATTAATTATGATTGACTGTTCGACCATCTACTACTGTAATATAAACTATTTGTAATTAAAAATTGCTTCCTACTATACAGGGTGACTTCGAAGTTGAGTCATTTATTTTAACAGTGAGTAGATCTGATCAAAAGAAATGTTTTTTTCCTTTAACATTTTTCTGGTAAAATTAAATTAACAAAGTTATAGCCCTTTAGAAGTTTGTGTACCGCCCTGTCTCAATAATAATATTATGTGCTCGTGTTTGGCAACAACGGATATAATCCGCCTTATCTGTTCATCGCATCGGAAACAAAAAAGCGAAAGAATTTGAAACGTTTATCACGATGTCAGTCAATGTTTCAGTCGGTAACGCGTGAGTGAATAGTGGTGTTTGTTGCGTGGCTCAAACGAAATAAAAAATGGCACATGTTCACGAAAATGCTGAACTTGTGGATATAAGATTCTTATTTAATCGATTGCAACCAACCCCTCGTGCCTTTGTTAATGTAGTACAAAGGGCTCGTGAATCAGGTGACTTAAGTCCTCACAGTGGAGGGCAGGCCGGTGCTCCAAGACCGCACGAACAAATACAGGTCCGCACTGAAATACTTGTCGGGAGGATACAAGGTAACATTTTTTTTTAATTTTTTTTTATTTTTACACACATATTTTGGTTTATCTTCCTTCTACAATCATTATCTGTATATATACAGGGTGACTTTGAAGTTGAGTCATTAATTTTCAGATAATGATTGTAGAAGGAAGATAAACCAAAACATGTGTGTAAAAATAAAAATAAAAATTAAAAAAAATATTACCTTGTTTTATAAAGTATCCTCCTGACAAGTATTTCAGTGCGGACCTGTATTTGATCGTGCGGTCTTGGAGCACCGGCATGCCCTCCCCTGTGAGGTCTTAAGTCACCTGATTCACGAGCCCTTTGTACTACATTAACAAAGGCACGAGGGGTTGGTTGCACTCGATTGGGAAACCGATCAGCATAAAGACTCCCCCCCCCGTAAATAAGAATCATGTCCACAAGTTCAGCATTTTCGTAAACATGTGCATTTTTATTTCGTTTAAGCCACGCAATAAACACCACTATTCACTCACGCGTTACCGACTGATACATTGACGGAAAACAACTGAATAAAATTGTACATTGTAGTAAAAACATCGTTTCAAATTCTTTCGCTTTTTTGTTTCCGATGCGATGAACGGATAAGGCGGATTATATCCGTTGTTGCCAAACACGAGCACATAATATTATTATTGAGACAGGGCGGTACTCAAACCTCTAAGGGGCTATAACTTTGTTACTTTAATTTTACCAGAAAAATGTTAAAGGAAAAAAGCATTTCTTTTGATCAGATCTACTCACTGTTAAAATAAACGACTCAACTTCGAAGTCACCCTGTATATATATATATATAAAAGCGTGTTTTTTAGTTTTTTTAATCTATTATTTATTTTTCATTTTTAATTTTGATTTATCAATTAGTTTTTTGTGGACATGTGCTATTGAAACGTCTTATGAATCATTTCGTATTCTAATCATTCCATTTAAAGCTTCACTGTTGCTTGGGGTTTTTCCTTTTAACTTAGACCAATCAAGTTGTTCAATCCGAATACCGTCTAAAGATCTTACGCGACTAAATGCTACATGAGCATGTCCAGCGGTAAACAGTCAGGATTAATGGCAACATTCGCAATGAACAAGGTGAGAATGCACTACCTTGAAAAAGTATCTGCCTCCGTTGTACTGTACCAAATACCCGAATCAACAAAGAGTAAGTCCGAAACTGCACGCATGTGCAGATCGCACGCTAGCTCTATCTCTTTTACTCTCCTACAGAGGATCTAAAAAAGAATTTATCAATCCTGGCGCTCCTAATAAGGAGAATGGAAAACTGTTATCAAATTATTGCATTATCGTCGGTCCTTGATACGTGTGCGAAGTTTCAAATTAATCAAACTTCTGCAAATTGGTGAAAATTGTGCTCAAATATTCCGTTAAATACATACAGGTCAGCTAATTAAGCGTGTTAAAAAGAGTTGACATTCTTTCAATTCTACTTCAACGCAAACAGCTATACAATTCAAATAATTATACGTTTCAAGAAAACTTTCAGGAATATCACGAAAATCGCGCCTTATTCCTTGAAATTGAAAGTTCGTATAGCATGCAAAAATATCATTAGTGTCCTGTGGGCGCTTGGTAGACACTGAGACAATGACTTAGACAAACTCCCGTTACAATTTATATCGAAAATTATCGGCTTCTGTTGCAAGAAATATATTTACGAGGAGTTTCATGACAAACTTGCACGGAACACATACCTGGCTTACAGAGACGTATTTGAACTCAACAGTTGGTCACAAGACAATGTTTTGCTTTCATTACAAAAATATTATTATTTTGTTATTCTGCAAATTGTATAGCAATAGGGCGTGGAAACAAATAAGATTATGACGAAAATGATAAGCCACCATGGTACGAAGTACAGTGGGCCATTAAGTTGAACAAATTTTAAAAAATCATAAAAAAGAGCTACAAAGCGTAGGGAAGATAGTTTATATTTTTTTTTAACTTGCTTATATTAGCTTGGCCTGTATGAATGTAACAGAATCTTTGAGCATAAATAAGTTGATAACAGTTTTTTTCCATTATCCTTACTCGGACCGCCAGGATTGATAAATTCTTTTATAGATCCTCTGTGAGGGAGTAAGAGAGATAGAGCTAGCGCGGATCTGCGCATGCGTGCAGTTTCGTACTTACTCTTTGTTGGTTCGGGTACCCGCCACAGCACAACCAAGGCAGGTACTCTTTCAAGGTAATGCATTCTCAGCTTGTTCATTGCGAATGTTGCCATTAATACTGAGTTGGGCTTCGACCGGCCACAAGATGCAAGGTTTTACAGTCGATCATGCATCTACGCTCGCGACTGTTTGCTGCTGGACAAGCTTATGTAGCATTTAGTAGTGTAAGATCTTTAGACGGTAGTCGGATTGAAGAACTTGATTGCTCTAAGTGAAGCTTTAAATGAAATGATTAGATTACGAAATGATTCGTAAGTTTTTTAAATACCACATGACCACAAATTGATAAATCGAACTAAAAAATGAAAAATAAATAATAGTTTAAAAAAACTAAAATAACAGGCTTTCATAGCTAACCGAACTGAAAAGTAGAAAATAATTTTTAATTACAAAGAGTTTATATTACAGTAGTAGATGGTCGAACAATCAATCATAATAAATGACCCCAAAACAAAATTATAATAAAATTCAAGTCATTAACATTACAATTCAATTCGGACTGAAAAAATAACTATTTCAGAAACTCAAACTTCCTGTGTATTTTTACAATTTTTCCTTGGGCTTTCATACTTGTGCGGCATGATTTTCTTTCCAGAATCTTAATTACGCGTGGAAAATTTTGCTGTTTATATAACTTATAAGGTAAATATGACACTTATCGAATAATTGAAAAAAATCGCGTCAAGTAGGTTGACCTTGCACTGGTTACGTAACGCTGTTGTCAGGTCATAAATGATTATGTTTAGCACAAGTTATTCTTCCAAAGTACAAACGTGTATAACTAAGGATATAAATGGATCTGGTCATTCAAATAGACCCATACTATTAGTCTACAGTTCCTTCCCATTTGGCAACGTGACGGTCTAGAAGTTCCTCCCTTCTGCCATACCGACCATCCAAAAACCAGTGGCCAGCTCGCGACAGGTTACCGCTATCTTCGTTGCGTTGCTATATATATAGAAGGAAAGTGGATTCGAGCAGAAAATAGGATAGGTAACTCGAGCGACTTAGCGTGTGATTTTTTTCCCTCTACATCTTCGTTTCCTCAGGTGGCACCCGTATCCGGATGTATGGGCATGTGTATCTACCTTCATAGTTGCATATGTGCATTCATTTCGGGCCTAATGAAGCCAACCTGCAGAAATACGTATCGCTCGGGTTACCTATCCTATTTTCTGCTCGAATCCACTTTCCTTCTTTTTGCGGATGTTGCCCATTATTTTCCTTTTTTTTATTATATACCTTTCTCCGCATGATCATTTTCTCTTTGTAGATCCTTTGGGCCTGAAGTGCCACAGCAAGTGACTATAACCGGCCGCGTGGTTGTAGTTGGATGTCTCCTTGAAAATTCGAGGTCTTCTAGCCATTTTATACTACAATGTGTAGGTTGGCTCTTGTTGTGGACTTCGCGTGTGTTTTTTTCTCTCTACATCTTCGTTTCCTCAGGTTGCACCCGTATCCGGATGTATGGGCATGTGTGCTACCTTCGTAGTTGCATATGTGCTTCCATTTCGGGCCTGATGAAGCCAACCAGCAGAAATACGTATCACTCGGGTTACCTATCCTATTTTCTGCTTGAATCCACTTTCCTTCTTTTTCCGGATTTTGCCCATTATTTTCCTATTTTTTTTTTTTGTTATATACCTTTCTCCGCATGATCATGTTCTATATATATATACCAGTATATGTTTATATATATATATCATGTCAAGTCTTAGGGGCAAATCTATGTGTGAAATATACCATAAAGCCAGGTTAGAACCGTATAAATATATTCACGCCAAAAAATTCAGATATACCTTCTCCAACCTCCTACAATCTCCGCCCCAAGTTTTATACTTGTAAAAAATTCAACAAATTTGGGAAATTTTTATTCTTTCTTTTATTGCCGTTTTACGTTGGCATAATAACTTTGTATCAGAAATTCCACAAAATGGGAGGAGTGATTTCCAAGTTATAGGAGGTTCAAGGATTATAGGACAGACAGACAAAACAGTGACGTGGTTTCTCATGATGAAACATCCAAAATGCTTGATTTCTCATTATCGATTTTTTTGGCAACTACTGCGCTTCTTCACCAATTGGCATGGAGAGTATAAGGGAGATAAAAATGGATCTGACAGATCGAAGCCTATACTCCAGCTAACATTTTTTTTCGCGGGATATCGATATTCTTATTCTTAACAACCACTAGTCTAAGATACAATTCATTGCAACAAATCTCCCCAACATGTGCCATGACAATATGTCTGCATATGTCCCAGAAAATCGTTGAGATGGAAACAATATGCTACATACCTTCAGATGCGGCCTGGACTATTTAGTTATCAGTTGGAAATTTTCTTTTAATACCAAAGCGTCCACGCTTTCAATTTCATCGTAAAAACGTAATTTTGATTTTATGATCGATTTAATTACCAATACTAATTTATTTGTAATAACGGTAAACATACACTATCATTATGTCGTTCACTTGGCACCATAAATTATCAGGAAGCCATGATATGAACCACGCAAAGTGGAATCATATAGATCAGCTATTAAATTGTCTAAGTGCTTTATGATAAATACTATATAAAAAATATGTCATTTGCGTCATTCAGTCCACTAATCCTAACTTGGAAAGTGCCGTTCGTATTTTGATGAAATTTTCACACAAGCTTACTTCTACCTCAAGGACGAAAAAAACTTTGTAAAGACAAAAAAAACAGAAAAAAAATTGCTCAAACTTGAGTTTTTGGCGTCCCAGAAGCTGCTGATCACTTTTTAAATTTCTTTGAGGGGTAAAAACGTAGGGTGTCGGGGATTGCATGTCACTTTTTTGGCGGTACTATACAGTGCTTTTCTTTAATGTCCCTCTCCCCTTTAAAACTTGAGGTAATGAAATTGATGCGTGGATACCATATTTTAGAGTAAAATTGACAGATGAAAATGTCAAGATGGCCGCTAGGCGCCATCTTGGAAAAAAAAGCTGCTGACGAGTACTTTATAACCCTAGAATATAAAGTTAATACCTTTACCTACTACAACCATTTCCAGCATCTTCTAAACTGATCTCAACGTATTTATTCGAATTATCAAGTTAAATATCAATGTATTCAGGTAATTATTAAATATACCACCATTTTGTAGTAGGTAAAGGTATTGACTTTATATTCTAGGGTGATAAAGTACTCGCCAGGAGCTTCAAAATGATGTGCCACAAAACCCCCGTTTTCATATATTTTTTCCAAGATGGCGCCCAGTGAAAATCTTGCCATTTTTATCTGTCAATTTTACTCTAAAATATGGTATCCACGCATCAATTTCATTACCTCAAGTTTTAATTTTTTAAATTAATCCGCTCAAAAAATCAAAGGGGAGGGGACATTAAAGAAAAGCTCTGTATTTAACAGTAATGTTACGCGCCTGTTAGGTATATTTTAGGTAAACATTTCCCCGTATTTGAAAAATGTTTTTTATAGAAAGTTGTACGCTAGCCGCTGCCCCTTTATTTCGGGCGAAAGTACAGGCGATGAATATTTTATCTTAACAGCTGAGACCAGCGAGGATGTAAACATTTACTACTACTAGGGCAATATAATTTATTGAATATAAATAATCAGTTACGGTAACAACATTAGGGCTGTAATTATTCCGGTGTGAAATAATGAATAGACGTTTACCAGTCTTCTGCGAATATTACGAAGAATGAAAAATACATAGTTTGTTTTTTGCAATACAGACGTATAGGTGGCTCTATATGCCTCTAACAATAATAATACCGCGTAAAAGATTGTCCTCAATTTTTCAAAAAAATGTATGATCAAACTGGCGATAATTTTCCCTCAATTATATTCATCATTCCTAGCTGTGAGGGCTTCCATATTATAAAGATACCATAACGTTAGAAAGTAGACTCAAATACTATCGTGCGTATTCAAAGTCCATAATTTCAATTTCTTCCAAATCAATAATATCTCATTCTAACCTACGGCCTTATGTAAGGTACAAAGCGTACAAAAGTTAACTCACACTCAAAGAATTTCGTGGGATATATAGAATCAACCTACTTGATGCCAGTTTTCAAAACAATTTCAGGCACTTGGTTTTAGTCAACAACGCCTCAACTTAGAAAGGAAGAGTAAATTTACGGGAACTGTGCCTCATGATGAATGTTGGCACCGTGTTCGTCTTCATTAGCAATGAATCATTAGTATGACGCCCATCTTTCACAATTGATTGTTTTGATTATTATGGCAGTAAACAGAGCAGAGTTTTGTGCGCCCTGAGGCTAAGGATGAAATATGCGCGCCCTCTCACACTAATTGAAAATGTTTCGCCCTCCATGACACATTTTCAAAAATTCTCCGAGGGACATAATAATCCCCAAATATGGGAACCCCGGGTGGTTATATACGTGTTTTTTTCTGTATCTCTTTCATACACGCTAAGGCTTAGGCCGCACTACGGTTTCCACTGACTATCCGAAGATTTAAGCAAGGTGTCTTTCATAAAAAGTATCAATATTTAAGAAAACATCCTGAGAAATTTTGCAACTACTATCGGAACGGAAACGAGGACCAGCAGAAGTTCTGTGCTTTAAGCGTTTATATCAACGATATCCCATCCTAACACTTTTGACATTATGCTGCTAGATGTACGGTTAGTGAGGAAAGGTACATACACAGAAAATTCTTGTACTCCGGTTCTTTAATTTTCAGTAGTCGGTAACCCCTCTTCCCCGTTTTTCCGTCGTCACACGATCACAAGAACATTCGCTCCTACAAGTCCCCCCTCCTCAAAATGTCCCACTGAATCCGCCTCCTATGAATGAACTTATATTTTCGTTCAGATTACACGTGTCTAGCAACCTCCCCCCCCCCCTCCCCCTTCCGTTACACCCCATTTTCAATAAATTGTTTATTCTTATTATTTTTTTAACTTTTACTGGCGCTATGTCTGTTCTAATACGGTTCAGTGTTCCCCGTGTCAACCACTCAAAGTACACCACTGGGCATCTCTTGGATAAGCCGGTAGTTGGTAAGTGGACCGTTTAGAGTCAAGTCCAGTAATCATCTACGGAATTTAAGTATCTTTTTTTTATACTCCA